GGGGGGGTATCAAAATTTTTGCCTTAAAAAGGGTGTTATGTGTTGTAGGGCTCGTGTAGCAACTGTGGCGTTGCATGCCATAGTGTTCGTGCGACGCCCAAAGGACACGCGTGTCATAGCTGCTATCTACATTGGAGGTCAGTGAATGTAACGTAAATCAAATTAATTCAATTAAATTAATGCCAATGTTAGCAAATAAATGAATCTCCTACACAACTCATTGTCAGTAAACAGCTGGGAGGATATTCATATGAGAAAATCGTTGGAACAACTCGCCGTCTCTTTAATTTTAACGATAATTTTTTTTTACAGAGATAAATATGGATATATTTATTGATGTTTAAGCAGACTTATGAATATCCTCGAAGAATGCTTATCCGGTATAATCGTTTTAATTTACATCTCCATTAATGGTTTCCAGTTGATTTTAGTGACATTGAGACACAGTATAGATTAGCTTCGTATTCCCATAGTCTTGAAATCATTAGTTTTAAAAACATTTTCTGATGGTTTAGGCGCACCGGTGTAGCAAGACCGTTAACTTCCATGCCGGGTCGTACGAATAAAAGAAAGCCACCTCGGGGCTTGGTTGTGAATCATGATGATTTGGCGGCTTTGGCTGGTCAACCAAACCAGGCCAACAACAGTTTGCAAGCGATCGACACTGAGATCGTGAGCCTAAAGCGTCAAGTATGTTGATGAGTAGAAATAAAAAGTTCTTGCAATATACGTCGTGTGGATACATTTCCCTTTTATTCTCTATATGATTATAATGAATGACGAGAGCGATTACACGAATGCTCGTATTTCAAACTACTAATAGATGAGATACACATATGTTAGATCGACATCTTTTTAATACTATTGTGAAGTAAGACTTTTAAAAATTTAAGGTTGCGACCATTCAAACACTTTCATCATGTATATTGATGTTTTGATATTGTATATTATTTCTAATTAGATTATGATTACACTATGTTATTCACACATAATTATGCATTGTGCATAATGTTATATAATTTATTCGAAATCACAGATACAAGCCAACAAACAACAAGTGAGCGCACTGAAGCGAAAGACTGTCGACGGTATTGACCATCTACGACCGCCGGAAGTATCGAGCCGTATAAATGCTCGTTGGACAAACGATGAATTGTTATTGGCCGTTCAAGGTATCAGAAAATACGGAAAGGATTTCGCCGCGATCGCTGAAGTTATCGGAACCAAAACCGAGGCACACTTACGATCATTTTTCGTTAATTATCGACGGAGATATAATTTGGACGCGGTTCTAAAAGAATTCGAGGCTGAAAACGGTCCCATAGTGATCGAGGATGAAAAAGAGGAAAAGGTACGTTTTATTGTAACAATACATAAATTTTTTTTATATGTATATATTCTTGTTATATATAAAGGATGTGGATAGGAATTGTGTATTAGACTTTCGAACTCTCCACATTTTGTCCTATATCAAATTAATAATTTAATGAAATTTTTCCACAGATGGATGTTGACCAATCAAATGATACCGCAGAGTCATCTCAGAAGGGAAAAACTTCCACTGGGCCTGCACAAGCTACTAAATAACAAATGAATATAATCCCAAGTACAAAACGAGAAAAGAGTAATTGCAGAATCAGCGATAATAATCGATAATCGAAAGGTACTTGATTAAATTTATTAATGTTTGCTCTTTTCTTCTTATTTGATTGCGTCATTTTATCTATGGCGTAATATACACGAATTTGTTTTAAAAATCTAAATTTGAATGACAGTGTAATACGAGGATAATCCATATGTGTAAATTACATAAAATTACACATAAAAATGACATTTATCTTAATCAAAATAAGCCTGTCTCTATAATGTGTTATATTTTTTGTATTTAAAACTGAAAATCGATCATTTATTTGTATGAAAACAGTATAATCGCATAATGTCAAAAATATTGAAGTTTACACCAAAAATGTATTAGAAAAAAAAAAATGTATTTAGATGTAGCCACAAAATGCTTCAAACAATATGCACGCACTATACATATTATCAGGTATAACTTACATAAAATTTACAAGTAAATCTTCAATATTGTTTTTGTGAATAGCATATTGCAGGTAGAAAATTATTTTTCTCTTTTGTATGTTATTTAAGCATAATATTTTATTTTTCTTGAAATGATGTGCATATAAAACTTAGGACAATGCAAGATAAAAATTGATCTCATTTGAGGAAATTGCTATATAAGATGATAAATTATCAAACACATAAAAATGTTACGTTGAAAGGATTCTATGGATTAGAAATAATGTGTAAAAGTGTTCTAATGAATTGCAAAGTGTTCAAGTGTTTTAGTATTTAAATATCTTTAATGAGAGTTTCGCCCTCTTTTTAAGCGTAAAGCTGCTACTATACACTCTCGTGTATACTTTGCATCATTTGAATGTCTTCTAATTAGTCTCATAATAATTTCAATAGTCTGGACGTTTTTCCCCTTCTTTTATAGTTTTTTCTCTTCTTAAGTTTTCTGATACTTTTATTTAAAACCATTTTTATTTTTACTAGTGGCAATAATCAATAATCAACATTTGATATTTTTTCGATGAACGATTACGAGAGCAATACATATAAAAAAGATATCAGGCACTTAAAATATACATACATCTTTCTTTTTATAATTTTAAATTTCACATATAACTTACATGTTTCTTATACCTGGAAAAAAAAACTTAATTGTATGATAATCGTGATATCGATAATCTTTCGCATTATAAGAAAATAGTGATCGGAAAGCAGAAGAGTATATCTCGAATTTAATTTCATGAATAGAAAAACATATACTAATGTATAAGTATTATAATCTATTAAAAATTATGATGTTAAAATATATAGATGATGCCGTCGTAATTTCATAAAATGTATACACATACATGTTAATAAGAAGTCATTATGGTGAAGAGATAATACGCGTGCCTGCAAAGAGATTTACAGAGATTTTATAAAGCGATGATGCATACTTTTGCATAGTTTCTGTATGAAAATTTTGAGTTTTATTATAAATTTCTATTGTAAATCTATTTATTAATAATAACACTCCAGATAATAATAGAGAGCGCACATTTCGCAAAACTTTATTTATAAAATCGATAGCAATTAAGTATTAAATATGTTTTCGTGTATTAGTATAATGTAGATAATATATACCAAACCATTCACACAACTGCACCAGCTTCCTGTTTATGAATACAGCGGCATGATAGTAGATAACGATACAAATGTGAAATAAAATAAGACTAGTATATGATTTACATGCAATGCAGATGCTAAATCGGCCGAAAATTTTTTTTCTTTTTTTTTACACTGAGGTGCCTTGATATCATCCCTTTTGTGACGCAGGGTATGCGAAACTATCGCATACGCCACTTGAAAATCTCTCATTGAGTTTGAACAAGCAGTGTGTCTATTGACATATTATTGCAGGTTCAGAAAATGTCAACAAATCTAATGCTACTCTTATTACACATATATTTTTCACGACAAAACATGTATATAGCTGATAATTACTATTAGATCAAACAGTAGATTAAATATGGAAGTCTAAATTAAATATGTAGGCAGGCAGAGAGAGAGAGAGAGAGAGAGATTTAGTTTCTCAAACCTACATTTAATTATAATAGTGATAGCGAAAAAATTATTAAATAGATATCTATTAATAGATATCTACACAGAGAGCAGCCAAAACGATGCTGTTCAAATTACGCGTATAATTGTTCGCATATTTTGTGCGTGCTTTGCAAGATCTCAATCGTAATTAATTCACATTAATAGAATCACATTTTCTAAATGAAAAGATATCTCTTTTTTCACATATTTAAAAGATAATAATAATAAAATAATTTAAATTGCTTGATCCTATGAAAAGTTTTAAGAACAGTTATTTAAAAATGATACTTTTTAAATATATGTTTAAGTGCATATGTTGGGGCATACATGGAAAATTAATATATATTCTGATATATGCATAAATCATGTTATGGTATTCTCATCACAATGTGTACATATTTATATCATTATCACCGATAAGAGTGATATATCTCATATAAACGCGATAAATCTTAATGATTGAGATGATGAATATAAAAGCAAAGGACATTAGTGTGTTTTATTAGAGTGAAAGATATCATTATATTAAAAAGGACTTTTAGATAAATTGTTAGTTGATATATGCGAAGGCGCGCATTATCATCATACGAGAAACGCATGGTTTTTATATGAAAAATCTCAGTTCTATTTCTGTCGTAAATTAATTTTTTTCTAAAATATTAAATTTGCGCATCTCTGCGAAACGTTTTACAAAGCATTAACGTATACCTTCGTATAAATTGCGTTTTATTTATTTTCATATTAAGTTTTTTGACATATTACTCTTAGATATATTTTTATATACTCGCGCATAATATCCTTTTAAGAATTCATCGTAGGAAAATATTCGATTGTATTAATGTAAATGATAAAGAACGGGATATCGTGCTATGTGATTATAGATTTGATACACGAATATGCGTATGCAAAATCCGCTAGATAACTTCTTTATCTTATGTAAGAAACAAGGATTTAATAAAGTAAATTTTTGCTGTGCGTATACATTTGGAATTGTTTGAAATATATCACGATACGAGTAATGTAAAAGTCTTCGCTATCATCTCTAGCGCGGACGTTTACAAGAAAAAATTGAAATTATAAATTATTGAAATTGAAATTATGTGTCATTATGTATGAACGGCTATGTTATATGTAGTGACGAGAAAGGATTATCTTATAGGGATAGAAAAAACAACTCGTAGTGTTGTAATGTAAATGTATAAAGATCGATAAAGTCTATTTGTTTAGACACATTGCTTGGAATGTGTGTATCGAACATTTGGCTACCTGTAAACTGTACACATGTAATTAATTAAATATGTCTTACGCATTATGCAACAAATTATTTGTTTCTTATATTTTCTTTCGAGGATACAATGTAATTATAATTAATGTTATCTATTAATCGATAGATTTAAGATATATAACATATAAAATTCTTCAAACACTTCGTCGTATAATCAGTTTTCTAATTATGTTCTATGAGCTAGATCTTTCATTATCGTATAATTTTATGTAGAGAATCCATAATAATCTTGTATTAATTATCGGCACATTCTTATTATTTCCTACTTCTATTAACTTGATCAAATTATACATGCCAGTTCGTTGATGAAGTAATTTGCGATAATTGCAGCCGTGAAATGAAAAACGTGCAAGTCCGTTTTTAGATAACTTGTATCAGTTAATGTTACTATACTATAGTTTCACTCGGTATTATCTTGATGGTTGCAACTACAATTTGCTGTTACATATCGCTGTTCTTAATATGTAAAAAATTAATATCAAGTGAACCTAAGTGGAAAATCAATTTTAATAAACCACAATGATCTTTTTACAGATTTGAGATAAATATTATTAACTGATCAGTTTTCTGCACAGAAGTTGCATTATCTTAAAACTGTAAATAACCGAATTGATATAATTGTATACATTTATAATTGTACATTTTATGGTTTCAAATGGGAAGCGCAGATGGTTGAGAATAACTCTCGCTGTCGTACGACAACATCTCTTTTCCGCGCTAGATAATCCGTCTCTTTTAAATACAAGATCATTTGCAAATCATCGTATCTAAAACCAGCTTTTTCTCGGAGTTTCCTGAAATACCTCGTACATGCATCATCGTCGATACACGTTTGTATCGCGTATGTGGCATCGAAACAATTACCGCGATTATCGCTCGAAGCATCATAAAGAAAAAAACAAATATTTAAAAATTTAGATTCCTCTTTATAAAAAATACTATCGTCATTGAACGGATTCTTGATCGTCGCGCTAAAATCGACGTCTCTGTGTATAGCGCATGTGAAGTGCTGTATAAAGTCCACACCATCATCAGCAATCGATTCGAGTCGAATAATGTCCGATAAGAGCTGTTGGTACGCGATCTCTTCGTGTTGCGTTCGATAGTACGTGGAATCGACGTGTTCGTGGAATGCATGCCTCTGCAACGCGGTCGAGACGATCTCGCGTATCTCGGCGATTTCGTCTTTCAGCAGAATCAAGCAACATCGCATAATCGTCAATTTGTTGCTATTCCCCAACTCTGCGTGACGATGCAGCGCAAGCTCGATGTATTCAGCCGCCGTCAATCTCACGGATTGTTTTTCATTCATACATACGTTGAAAACGTATGACAGCACTTGATTTATCAGCGTCTCGCTCTTGGAAAAAGCTAAGATCAATGAATTTCTCACGCGAATTATACTCGAATCAGTCATCCCATTAAACTCTTCTATTATCTTGTCAAACTTTAGCTCGTTACTTTCCAAACTAGCATGCTTTATAGTATTCAATGTGAAAGTTACTGTTTCATTGAATAATAATTGGTGACGATTATTGCTCATCGATATCAAATATTTGAGAATAAATTCTAGTAAAGGAACGCAATGCGATAAACCATTTAGGAATTCGATACCTTGTTCCGTACAATTTGAATTCAGAATATCGTGTATGATCTCTCGGTCAAGATCAAGGCTTGTGCAAATCGGTTTAACATAATGTATCGCGTACAGTCGCGCCCAGTATCCAACAAATTGAAAAAATCCTGGTTGGATCTTTTGCGATGATACTATACATTCAATTATCGGTAAATTATAGAATAATGACATTTTGGAAAACATATTCGAAGATAACAAAGGTGTTTCCTGTAGAAACAATGTTTCCAGCATATAACATGGTTGTGCAGTTTCCTGTTGTTTATATATACAATTCCATATCTGTGATATTAATATGTATTGATCTTTCCAAGGAGATGCGAATTCTGATATTGTTGGAATCCACCACTCTAGTCCACTACCATAGTCTGCCATCTTATGCCATATGGAATTTTCAGTATTATCGATGGCCTTTTTTCCTAAATATCTATAAGTTAATAAGTATCCATGCGACATATTAGTGTCGTGGGAAAGTTTGCGATCGTTCTTAAGGTAGAATAGATATTCGTGACAGGTGTGAAAGCCGTATATACTTTAGCCGCTAATTGTCTGATATATATCATCGGATTACCAAGAAAAGAGATGAGCAACAAACGTTTGATTTTCTTTATGAATACAATCGCCGCGGGATAATCAACGAGATCGCAGTCGCTCGTCGACAATTTCGATAATAGTACGAGGATATGCGCGACGCTTGAATAAGAACGTAACGCCGCGTTTGAAGTACCACGTATTATTGACACGTCTCGCAGCTGGGCGTACACGCGACTCGCCAGCGTTGGATAATGCGTAACGAAATGATTAACGGAATAATCGTAGCCAAAATTCAACTCTCCGTCCAAGCTTTTCTCGGAGCACTGACCCACCAATCTCGGCACCACTACGCCATATAGTTGCAAGCTTGCGTTTCTGAAATGGCATATGACGTGTATATGACGAATAGAAATATACAAAAGATCATCGAAATATATGAAAGAATAACTTAAATTAAGGAAACTATTATATTGCGTTGTTTTACCTTACGGTCCAAACATCGGATTTCATGTACTCAAAACACGTTAAACAAATGTCTTCCATGTACGAGACTAATTGCGCGTGTATCTCCTTATCGGCGACCAACATCCGCAAAAAGTACAAGCGTTTCGCCCACGGTGAGTCTTGTCCGAGCTCTACTTCTCTAACAGTCGTCATCGAAAAGTTTTTTAGCGAGCGTAATAACATCCGCACCGCGAAATGGACTGTAGGTCGATCTCTCCGATTATCGCTGACGACCAATCTATGAAACATGATCGACAATCCGGCACCTCGTCGTGTTAAGTGCAACGATTTTCCCGCGTCCTCCTCCAACAAACTGGCTAAATATGTTCTCGGCAGCTCGGAGTATTCTTTTCGGTCATATAAACGTCTAAAGCAAATTAATCGTTAATTAATATAGACATTTATTATAGGAAATAGGTAATCATTAATCGATTAGTACTTAAATTGATTATTCCTATTTCATATATCGCATGATCTCAATGATGAGCGCTTACATTGCACAGTGAGATTAATACATTAATTATTACATTATATTTTTTAAGATTTTATCTGGAAAGAGGATCTTTACCTGGCTAAATTCGCAATCGCCACTCCAGTAGATTCCACTACGCCTTTGTGCCGACACTTCAATAGTACCGTAACAATAATATCCATGGAATATTTTACTTGTGAATTCGACTGCATCAACATCCCGATTTCACTGATGATTTCACACGATACCTGTGTGAAAATTGTACTATTCGTTTTATTATTGGATTGTCTTACTTATATATAATTATAGCACACACACACAAATTATCTTATTACAATATATCCAACTAATTATATAAGCGCTTATATATATATATATATATACCTTTAAGGACATCCAGATACACGAGATAAGTACTTGATGTGCCGGCGATAATTGCAATTCATCATAATTATTAGAAGTCTCTATTTCACTGGTCTTAATTTTTTCATCGATAGCTAATCCCATTTCCGCAAATGAGGACGAATAAACTAAACAAAATTTTACAAATTGCAAAATTGTATAATTCTCTTTTTCCTTCTCTCTCTCTCTTTCTCTTTGATAAATAACAATTTATTAGAAACATTGATATAAAATATAAAGTAATCAATATTACTTTAACTTTAAGCAATCTTATTAATCAAGAACATGTTCTTAAACACGATTTACCATCAATGATTATAAGCTAACAAATTATTACTAATTCCTGTTAATAAGTCATTATTGATCTATCTTTAAATTTGATGATGGCATTAGCTATAATGTACTCTATGTAGCTAATATTATTCACAGATACTTTGCAACACCTGTATCCGATGCTTTCGTAGATAATGTAGATAAAAAAAAGTTGATGGCATCTTTCAAAAAGTATAGCATTTCCTCTGTAAATTGTGATGTTAAGATCCAATTCTCTGGGCCAGCACGAAAAGCGATTGACAGCAAAGCGGTCAGCACACCATAAAAAGGTCTATTCTGGGCAATAGCTTTCAAAATATCGCTTTTCATCTGTGCCAATTGATATCGAGCTTCATACAATAGAAATTCTGAGTAACTCGAGTAAGCGAGAATATTATTACACTCATGGGAAAATGTTGAAGTCACATCTTTATCAATCTCATTCAAGGGCAACCAGTGTGCCATTATCTTTATAAGAGCTGCTCCACTTTCGACTTTATAGAACTTGGAAGAATTGCAGTGCTCCCATGCACAATTATAGAGTATCTAAAAAAAAAAAAGATTTTTTCATGAAAATTCAAAGATTTTGTAGTCTTTGGTCAATATTGGATCTTTTTCTGAACAAAAATATGATATTAATATAGTTTTCGAGTTATAAATTGAAAGTTTACACAAAAAATTTTTGCAAGTTAAACTATGTTAGGTAAGAATAAATAACTGTTCTTCTAGATCTATTATTCTAGATTAAATTTTAAGTGAATTTTACTAGAACAGAAATTTAAATTAAAACTCGCTTATTAAGATTTTTGAAATATCAAAAATGTGAAAATTATTTAAAAAATGATTAAAAAATGATTAAAAAAAAGTTCAATGAAACTTTTACTATGAGAAGAATTTATCTAAAAATATGCTCTTTAATTTTCAACTTTTTCTTTAATTTCTTTTAGAGATACATTGCAAAGTGTAAAACATTCAAATATAAATATGTAATATATTATGACAGATTTCTTACGCGCTTTTCCGTGGCTGATAAAACATCTTTTTCAAAATATTCCAAAATAAGGCCAGTAGCTAGTTGCCTGATATCGAGAGCAGAATCTAATACAAGTCTCAATAACAGAAACAAATTGTCTTTGTCGGTAAACTTCCAACTGTTTGTGGTTTTCAAGTGTTTGTCGATCGCCGTAACATAACGAAGGCATTCCCCGTGATGGGTGCAGCTCTCGTGCGAGTTCCCATTCGTAAAAGAGAGCAGAATCCTATACAAATTTAAAGCGAGAATCTTACGTTGGTAACATGAACCAATTTCGAAGCAATCCAAAAAATATTCGTACAGCCATTTCATGAACTTAGAGATGGACTGTACATCAGCGGCTTTAATGCTAATCACTTTTAAAATATTCGAACACAATATTCTGAAATATTTTATTATCCCTTCTCTCATAAATATCGTTGCAGCATTAGCGTTAAACCATAGGAAACGTTTTATTTGAAAAAATGGATCCATGTCGTTTCCAATGTCGATCAAATTGACAGCACGATAACAAAGAACAGCGAAAGCGTTTAATCGTACAATTTCCTCTTTGTCGTTTATGTAATGATCAATTTTATCCATTTTCGGCAGTTCAATGCGTAATTTAGCGGCTGCTCTTTGCAGATGCGAACGAAAAAAGTACCCTTGCAAATCACCACACAATTCCCATAAAAACGGCAAGACGTTCCTGTGCATTTCTATGGTCGGTTCGAGCCAGTATTTAAACAAGGATTGAAGAGCATTGTGATCCTCACTGCGAAAAAAGAAATTGGATTTAAGCATGTTTTAGTACTGGAAAATATTGTGAATTGAACAGAAAATATATTTTGCACATAAAAGGAATCGTGTGAATATTATAGGAAGCTTTTTGATATGATTAAAGCGTGTTTTAGTACTGGAAAATATATTGTGAATTGAACAGAAAATATATTTTGCACATAAAAGGAATCGTGTGAATATTATAGGAAGCTTTTTGATATAGTTGTCAAGTTTTAGAAGCAGAAAATCGAATATAACAATTATCTATGATCAGAGAAAAAGTAATCAATACACAATTAGCCTACAAACTTACTGTTTTCCCGACTCCCAGAAATTAATAATAAATTTCATAACTTTTCCAAACGATTTCTTCCATTCATCCTCACTGAGTTTCCTTAAAATTGCCAGGTAAAGTTTCGTACCGCTATAGCGCAAAGAATTTCTGGTTAAACTAATGCACAGCTCGGATAAATATTGTGGATTTGTCATAGCAAAGTATCCTAAATCCCACACTTGACAAATTTCCATTAAGATAATATACTTTATTTTGTTTTGCCACGGCACATATAAAATGCAATTGCGCCATATATCATTGATAAATGGTCCTTTATATTTTTGTAACATTATTCGAAGATATATATTGAAAATTTGTGCATTTTGCTTGCATATATCATTAAGCGCATTTGACCAATTAGAAAATATGATAGCCTCTAATTTTCGTTCTACTATACAATTGTTTTTGTGCCAAAAACGCAAATCGGATGTCTGCTTCAACTTTTTCAACCATACATATAATACTTTGTACGCGAAGTAAGAATATCTCGTGTATTTCATACAGTTTCTGTATATTACATCAAACATAAGTAAAAGAGCATCGTATTCAAAATGCATGTCTTTCTGAATCGCCTGCAGATATCCATAGGCGTTCAGTAGCTTGAACAGCTCAAGATCGGAAATGGTATACCGCCTTTCGAGGAAGCACAAATCATGGGAATCCAGTTTTTGAAAATGCATTACGATGAGACATCGCGAATCACAATGCATCGAAAGCAAAGCGTAGAACGTGTGACACGCTAACAGGATACGCTCGTTTCCTAATTCGGAATTACTACTAATCATCTCCATAATATACGTCAAAATCTTCTGGCATTCTTTCACATTTCCGCCCGCACAGGGATCATGCGAGGATACAGTGCTTATCAATTTCTGAAAAAAAAAAGATAAAAATATCGTTAAATGTAACAAAATTAAGATAAAATATTTCATTTAAATAGCGAAGAGAGAGAATACTAACTCGAAAAATCGGTACATCATCTTGACAATTTTGTAATTCGTTGAACGCATCGTCCAGTTTCATGTTTTAGCATTTAAGGAGTGTCCCCTTTATTTCGTAAAGTAAAAATAACGCGCGACAATAGTTTACGATTTATCTTCCTCATAAGACTTTTATTTTATAATCTCTCTCTTTCTCTCTCTCTCTCTCGACTGTAATATTAAAATATTTTTAGTTTAGTGTAAATCTTTATTCGTCGCTTGTAAACCGAGAACTGCTTGGCTCTTCTTATCGAATTGTTCCGGCAAATCAGATCTTTCCGAACTTTGCGTCCCACCGTCGAGGCAACGTATCCTGCAATTAAGGGAGAATAATCACGTTCTTGTGAACAATACTAATCAAAGAGAAAAAGAAAACGAGAAAAGATGATGTAAAAGTAATCAAGTTGTGATCAAAACCACAAAAAGCTGTGCGACGAAGTTATAAAATATTTTATAAGAAAGAGAAATTATATTAGTTTAAGTATATAGTATAAAAGCATATCGAAATAATTAACAGATTAGCTTAGTGTATTTAAGATTATATACTAAGATAAAAAGAATTTTAAAACGGCTTCACAGAGTTTTTGCTAAATACCGGTTAAGGATAATAGAATGTCTTAATAAAACCATTGTCCTGTGTTATTTTTAAGCATCTTGTTTATTATATGATCCAATAGAATAAAGATAACAATGTAAAGTCAAAAAACATCTGTATGTGAATAATGTATGAGATTAATTGTTTAACAGCTAATATTAATAGTTCAATTGTAAATTGCTATAAATGGAATACACAATCAATAGATTAGTATCTTATGTTTCCTTTGGCTCTTCAGGAACATACCCCCCCTTCTCTATTTGCTCTTTGAACTTCAAGTAATCTCTCTTACGATCAAAGTGTTTCACCTGCATAACAGTGGCATAGAAAAATTGTTAGATAATTAAAAAAAAATCTATTTTTTACCATGTTAAGTACAAAGTATGTATTGAACATATTATTCTAGAATTATTATGAAAGGATTACTATCTGTGATACGTACCCATTGAGACGGACAAAATTTTTCATATTGTTTCCTAAATTCTATACACTCTACTTGAGATTTGCCTTCATCCAAACATTGCCAATATTTGTCCCTGCGACTCCAACAATTCAAACGATCTTCTTTATTTGGGAAAGACATTCTGTAACATAAATATAGAGAAAGAGTTACTTAAACATGTATTTGCCTTTTGTAATTATTATTTTTCTAATAAGTTCCTTTTTTCTAGGTATATCTAGACTATACATCAAATAGATAAATGGCATAATTATAAATTCTATGGATGAACTTTAATGTACACAGTAAATTTATTCAATTTGGTATAATAAGTTTAGATAAACATTCTTCATAATAAGTTGTCACGTGAGAAATTTTATCCATCATATTAATAATTATATAAATAAATATGACAGCAACATGTACATATAGGAATATACTTACCTATAGTGCTTAGTTTTTTTATTGGAGCAATTTTATCAAAAATTCACTCACTCACTTTAAAACTAGTCATTAATGCATAATAAAATATACAAAATTATGACAAAGAAATAAGAGAAGCATATATATTGAATATATTTTTGCAAATTATTAATTTATTTTTATTAAAATTTTGATAAAAATGGAAAAAATTGATTTGAATCAGAGTGCAATAAAAAATTATTAATTTTATTATTTCAAAAGATCTATTTTAATCAAAATCATAACAAGAAAAAAAAATTATTTATATTATATAATTCTTAGACAAAAAATATTTTCAAATGTTGTATTAATCTCTTTCTTTCTGTTTACTCTCACTTTTTCTCTCTCTTCTCTAATGTTTTATCAAAACTTGCAAAATATTATAACATAAATAAATTTATTGAGAATGTGTTTTCTATTTTCTCATAATCACAAACATTAATAGATATAAACAAAAGTATTAAATATAAAAAACTGACGAATTCTTTATATGAATTTACTAATGTGATAAAATACGACTTACATTTCAATCTTGTATAATAATTAATTAACATTTTATGTAAATGTAAAGTAATGTAAATATATGATATAAAATTTAAGATATATATTTTATAATATCATGAAATTGTTAAAAGTGAAAAAATACAAGAAATTATATCTGTTTAATTATGTATCATATCATAAATTAAGGAATTACTCAGAAAAAAATAGAATATAAATTTAATAAAAATTCTATAAACAGAGAAATGATATTGAAGAGAAAAGTGTTGCAATTATATATATTTTTTTAATTTAATTGTGTGTTAAGAGTACAAGTTATTAAAAACTCTATCTATGTATACAGATATATATTTCTTTAATTTAAATAATCCAATAGAATATAGTGCATTTGTATGACAGAATTATGAAATCTAAAGGAAACAATTACACATTCTGGTATAGAGATCACATATTCCTATTATCGTCACTCACTAAGTGAGTGGCTTTAGTCAAATTTACTCAAAGTTTATTTTTGACTGTATAAAAATAGATTTTCGAAAAAGTATATCACACATAATCTATGTATATGTGGGTGTATGTGTGCTTATGTAACCAAAACTTTGGAAAATATAATGACATCAACTCAACAAGAAATTACCGCAAATGTAAATCGCTATTATATTACATCCTGATTATAGAAATAATAATGTAAGAAGGCAAAATAATCTTTTTTTTTTTTTAATAATACAGTATAACCTCTAAGTTTAGAATTATGAATACGATTATGTAAATGTAATCAAAAGTCAATTATATATTGCGCTATATATGTACACTGCGAGATGATTATTTGTCTCTTCAGGAAAACATTTCGCGATATATATTTATTGGATATACGCTCATAAATCTGAAATGGTTTAATAGTAATTTATGCATCATATGAAAAGATTCAACTAACCTGACTCTAAATTGTGTATCAATGACGTGAAAACGCAATAACAGCTGATGATAATTCGTGCTATCTACATAAAACAATCATTTAATTTTGCTGGTAGATTAAAAGTAAACTTTGTTATATTGTCGATGATTTTTAATAGCTAAACTTGCCGGTCGATTCATCGGCTATGAAGGTTTTGTTCATTCATGTGTAACTTGCAGAATCTATTATATACCTAATATACCACATACGCGGTATTCACAAATTTTTTATCAGTTCTAATCTTACCCTATCGAATTCCCATAATTTCTGAAATTAACGATACTATATAATGCAATTTTTTTATAATTGCTTAATATATAAAGTATTTAAAGTTGATTTTAGAGAACTGAATACAAATAATAGGCAGGAGAGAGAATGAGTTGGAGAGGAACAATTACATTTAAATTAATTTTTTTTTTCATCTGTACTTTCTACTTTAGCATTCTATTTATTTTTTATCTATTCTCAAAATATGAAAGCATATTTTTCTTTCACTTTAGGCTACGTCCCAAAACGTACTCTCCGAGGAAAGTTTTACTCGATGGCCGTTTCGAAATTTTTTTGAGCGTTTCTGATTGGTTGCAGGCCGGCCATCGAGTACAATTTTCCTCGAAGAGAAAATTCTCTTCGAAGAGGAAATTTTACATCGTTTTGAAACGTAACTTTATGAAAAGTGTAAAAAATATAACAGAAGATATACGATGAATAGCATGGAGCAAGATAATAACTGAAGGGAATACTGCATGCAGATTTAAATAAGAAAATTGTCCACAAATGAAAGAAAGGTAAGAAATTCCTGATTGGCTGCGCCATGTTGTTGTTACTATTATTAGAGAATCCTGATTAGACTCAAATGTTTCGAAACTTTCGTAGCGCCAAATGGAATGCATCTTAAAGGTCTATCCAGACAGATTTGCATAGTCGCATAAACATATGCATAAAGGTGCCTTTACATGGCAGCGTCAAGCGTTGCCATGTAATGGCACCTTAAGGAAATTGATTGATTTATTTTGTTATACATTTGCTTATGGACCAATTGATTTCTTTATGCAACTATGCATATCCGTCTGGATAGGCTGTAAGAAAAGTACAATCCCCTCTCAATTATTTCTTATCTTTATGGTGTTCATACACACACATGCGATAGGTGAGATAATTGGGAAAATAGACGAGAGGGAAGGGTGACCATTCATGTACATGTACGCGGCTGTTGCCGATTGTGGCGAATTCTGTCATCCGTCATACGCGAGTGCCGTGGATAAATAAATTTCTCGACGATATCAAGTGCAAAAACAGAGACCGTCGCGAATCGTACCGTTCGCTACAGAGGAGAAAAATCACGTTGTACCAAGACCGGGCCGACGGCCGGACAATATGCGCGCATATGTCTAGGCCCGGTGGTACCCAGGTTCTGGCCACAAGACAGGTGAAGAGAGCGGCCTCCACCACTACCGCAACCACCAGCGCTGCCGCCGCTGCTGTTGCTGCTGCTGCTGCTGCTGCTGCCACCACCGCCGCCGCCAATCTCACGGTGGTGCTGGATTACGCGAGCGCTGCCAAGCGCTACAAGCTGTCCGCGGCTGCGGGCATCGCGCAACCGAACGAGATCGGGGGTGAACCGCAACCACCAGCGCTGCCGCCGCTGCTGTTGCTGCTGCTGCTGCTGCTGCTGCCGCCACCGCCGCCAATCTCACGGTGGTGCTGGATTACGCGAGCGCTGCCAAGCGCTACAAGCTGTCCGCGGCTGCGGGCATCGCGCAACCGAACGAGATCGGGGGTGACAAGATCATCATCATGACGGATACGGCGACCGACACGCAGAAGCGGGCTAACTTTTCGGCGTTGACAGTCGGCAATCCGAACGGCGTCACCAATAGGATCTCGCCAAGTCTGGCGAACACGAAACCCGGTTCTGCTAAAAAACTTGTCATCAAGAACTTCAAAAGTAAGCGGATATAAACGCTCTTGAGATAACTTTGACATAACCTCAAAGTCAATCGTTGACATCTACGGAGATATGCAAGTGTTGTAATATTTTCGTTTCTCTCTCACTTTCTTTCTCTTTTTCTGCTTATATCAGAGAGATATTTGACGCGAAATCTTTGATCTTTTGGATGCAATTCATCGTGTTGAAGATGAGAAGTGTTTTTATTCGATTTGGCAAAACCTACATAACCTAATACACGAACATAGAAATATCGTAACTCAGGAGATTAGCTTTTTCTGATATTTTTGCGTTATCGAATATTATATTATTACAATTAATTGCAACATTTAATGCGATTTACATGGAAAGCATATTGACGCAATAAATGTCTATTTATAGATGATACATCGTGGTAATAATGTGTTATAATGCAAAAATCTATAAATGGATTCTCACAGTTTGACTTGACATTTTGCTTCTCTCGCGTTTATATATGTAGATCTTGCGTCATTAAAACAGTTGTTTCGTAATTAAATAAATATGTTAAATAAAATAATTTACACAAAAGTTAACATAAAATTAAATAAAACTAAATTAATCCATATCTCTTAATTTTACACAATACAAACGTCTATTCTTGTTATGCACTATAACGTTTTTAGATTGCTCAAGAAACGTTTGAAACTATTTGTGAAAATATTTTAGTATTTTATTACTATCTCTGTATTGAGAAAAGTTGTTACACATGAAATTGTTACTGTGTAAATATGAAAAAACATTAAAATGTTAGACAAACAAAAAGAATATATAGATAGTATATGTATAATTGTGTACTATATAAACATATAATACATAATTATATACATCACGCACACACACACACACACATACCATACATATATAGTAAATTCAAAAAAATGTTTAAATCACTTTTATAATTAGCTTTAAAAAAAAAAAATGTTGGTAATTGTGTCAACTTTTGTTTTGTTTATATTTTATTTGTTTCTCAGTTACAATGGTTTTCTTTTAGATAAACCCAAATTACCGGAGAACTATCAAGAACAAACATGGGAAAAATTACAGGAAGCTGTGATTGCGATACAAACTAGCAAAAGCATCCGCTATTCTCTAGAAGAACTTTATCAGGCAGTTGAAAATATGTGTAATCATAAGATGGCATCGACACTTTACTCAAATTTGACTATTCTGACAGAATCTCATGTGAAGGCTAATATCGAGCAGTTTTTGGCAGAATCCATGGACAGACATATATTTCTGAAAAAGATGAACGAGTGTTGGCAATCACATTGCAGGCAGATGATAATGATCAGGAGTATCTTCCTGTATCTTGACAGAACATATGTTTTACAAAATCCTAGTATTTCATCAATCTGGTAATGTCATGGAAATGTTGCCAAAAGTTAATTTTGTAAACAATTTGTGTTTGCTTTATTCGACTTTCTTTTCCAGGGATATGGGATTGCATCTCTTTAGATTACATATTGTACTAAACAATTTAGTGCAAACACGCACAGTCGAGGGTCTTCTCATGCTCATAGAAAAGGAACGACAGGGCGACACTGTGGATCGAACACTTCTGAAATCGTTGTTAAGAATGTTGTCGGATCTGCAAATCTACCAAGAGGCCTTTGAAACAAAGTACATTGTTGATAAATTTAACAAATATATTTATTATTATTTATTTTACCGAATATTGTTGCTATAAAAATATCTTGATACATGCATATTATAATATACAACTTTATTTTTCTTATTTAGGTTCCTAGTGGCTACAGAAAGATTGTATGCTGCTGAAGGTCAACGATTGATGAACGAGCACGATGTTCCTGAATATTTGGCTCACGTGGATAAACGTCTACAAGAAGAAAACGAGCGACTGTTGCATTATCTTGATACAGCAACCAAGTAAATTTCTTTATTATTCTCATACATATATCTTTAATATACTTTTGCATATCAAATAGAAAATTATTAAGACTTAAATAATACATTGTTGCAAATAATTTTATAAAATTAACTAACTTTTTCAGGTGGTCACTTATACATACTGTAGAAAAACAATTATTATCTGAACATATTACTAGCATTTTACAAAAAGGCTTAAGTGGTTTGTTGGATGAAAATAGAATTAGCGATTTATCATTACTTTACAATTTATATAGTCGGATAAAGAATGGCCTTGTGGAACTTTGCTTGAATTTCAATTGTTATATTAAGGTACATATTTTTTAACTAATGATAAATTATATATAGTATGAAAATCTATATATGTAATGCAGTATTTAAATTTTATCTAAATTTTATATCTTTTTAGAAAAAAGGCAAGACGATAGTTATAGATCCTGAAAAAGATAAAACAATGGTACAGGAGCTATTAGATTTTAAGGATAAAATGGATAATATAGTTAATACGTGCTTTCATAAAAATGAAAAATTTGCAAATAGCTTAAAAGAAGCTTTTGAAGCTTTCATTAATCAAAGAGCAAATAAACCAGCGGAATTAATAGGTAATATATGTGATATATTAATGACATCAATTGCAAATATAATACAATACAAATAGTTATTTAAAAAATTGTTCCAATTATGTTATTGGTTTCTAAACGTCGATTCTGAAATTTGAATGCATATTGAAAACAGAATGAAAACATTTATGTGATTTCAGCTAAATTCGTCGATTGTAAATTACGTGCGGGTAACAAAGAAGCGACAGAAGAGGAATTAGAGAGATTATTAGATAAAATTATGGTACTCTTTCGATTTATTCACGGGAAAGATGTTTTCGAAGCGTTTTACAAAAAGGATTTGGCCAAACGCTTGTTGGTGGGGAAATCAGCTTCTGTAGATGCTGAAAAGTCAATGTTATCTAAATTGAAACAGGAATGCGGTGGTGGATTTACCAGCAAATTGGAAGGAATGTTCAAAGACATGGAACTTAGCAAAGATATCAATATCGCGTTCAAACAGGTAAGGAAAATAATAATTCATATTCTGCGAAAGAAATTTATAATATATACATATTTTAATTAATTTTCAATTTGTAATTTGTTTTTTAACTACTCTACTTTGTATTTACCGCACATACTCTGTATTTAATGCTAAATATGCATATCGACTTGTACAAAATGTATTATTTTGATTTTTGTTTTATCTAGTATGCAGGGAATTTGCAGAGTGAATTAGTGGCAAATAATTTGGACTTGACTGTATCTATACTTACTATGGGGTACTGGCCTACATATCCTGTGATGGAAGTCACCCTGCCGATGGAGATGGTGCAGTATCAAGATGTATTTAATAAGTTTTACTTAGGAAAACATAGCGGTAGAAAACTGCAGTGGCAACCGACCTTAGGACATTGTGTATTAAAAGCATGGTTTAATCAGGTATTTAAAAAAGAAAAAAGCGCCGATATTGCGTTTGTAAAAACAATATATAATTATTAACTAATGCATAAGTATCTTCTATATGAAAATAGGGTAATAAAGAGCTACAGGTGTCATTGTTTCAAGCACTGGTCTTAATCCTGTTCAACGATTCCGATAATCTCTCGTTAGAGGATATCAAGGCCGCAACAAATATCGAGGACGGCGAATTGAGGAGAACCCTCCAGTCATTAGCATGCGGAAAAGCTCGTGTTCTTCAAAAGAATCCGCGTGGTCGAGATGTCGCTGATAATGACAGATTCGTATTCAATGCAGAATTTACAAACAAACTGTTTAGGATTAAAATCAATCAAATCCAAATGAAAGAAACGGTAATACTTAACACTCAATACAATAAATTTTATATCTTTTTACCTTACAAGATATGTTTATATGTGTTAAAAACTTATATTATGTGATATGAATTGATTGGAGTTACTTTTAGAGTTATATCTGAGTTTTTTTTTTTTTCCAGAATGAAGAACAAAAAGCAACAGAAGAGAGAGTATATCAAGACAGACAGTATCAAATAGATGCTGCTATTGTCAGAATTATGAAAATGAGAAAGACACTGACACACAATCTTCTTATCAGTGAACTGTATAATCAATTAAAGTTTCCTGTAAAGGTATATATACTTTTTTATATAAAACAGATATAATCATGTTAGCATAAAATGTGATAAATTCGATTTTCTGTTTAAAATAATATCGTGTGTGATCTTTATAAGAGAAATCGGACAGACATATTTGTAACATCATATGCAAAATATGTGAATTATAATTAGGTGTCCTATGTATATAGTGTATTGATGCCACGTTTATTTCTCACATCAATTCATTGAATATTTATTTTTTTTTTAGCCTGCAGATTTAAAGAAACGGATCGAATCTCTTATAGACAGAGATTATATGGAGCGTGACAAGGACAATGCAAATCAATATAATTACGTTGCGTAACCTAAAGCAAATGCCAAAGTTACATCGTTGAATTATTGGATTGATGCTAATTTTTCTAGCAAATTGAATCTATCGGTGTTTGTCTATTGTGAATGTGAACAGGTTGTAGTTCAAGCAAGGTACTATATAATTAATCCGACTGTCAACATAAAGTTATAACGCGTGTGACCAGTTTATATAAAAGGAAAAAGAAAAGAAGCTCAACACAGTGTGAACTTTCCCGTTTTGATTTTCATAGTGCATAAGAGACGCTGAATGATTGCAGTCCTCCTTTGAACAGTGTTGTGTTTTTTCTGAATTTTGTAAGAAAAGAAAGGACCAGAACGCGATAATATGCGACATATTAGAATATAACAATTTTTTATGCCAACACAGTTTTTCACAGCATACTTACAATTAAAAAAATGTAATAAAGGATGCAAAATATAATATACATACAGTGACACTACCATAAAAATAGAGAGTAAGAGTGCAATTGCAATATAATTAGTTAATTCAAAAAGTGAACAGTGCAGTATTTATAACAAAAAGCGTACTACATCTATACATATGCAATCGTGGTACTTGTCTTTCAAATCTACAGATTATTTCTTCTGTATCTTCTCATTGCCTTTTCAGATATTAAAAGAAAGAAAAAATTAAAATAAAATTTGCTCTGGATTCTTTAGAATTATGGATAAAAATAATACAACTTGAAACATATATATATATATATATATATATATATACACTGCAGTTTTACCTTAAATATAGTGCATACGTAAGTCCATAATTTTAATCGGTAGAATAAAAAATAAAGTGTGCAGTTTAACGTGAACCGAATCTCTAAAAATTACACATGAAGAAATAAATAAGATTTCAATAAGCAGAAAACTTCTATACGATGTAGGATTCGCGACTGTTATTAAAATAAAAGATATATGTATGTCGTCCAATTATTGAAAATGTTGCTATGCGAGAGTAAATGATCATTCAGTGGCTTGTTTCGTGTCCATATATTTGTAAATTAAGTTAGTAAGTGATACGAATGTGTGTGCAAAGAACAGAAAATGTTTGGCTCTTTTTAATGGAAGTATTCACAGGGAGTTTCAATTTAAATCCAGGAAACATCGATATATAAATGCAGTACAATGTAAATACATATTCGAACAGGAAAGAAGTTAGTTTTTTAATCGAGAAGATAGTACTGCCAGCAGAACACTGTTTTGGTACGTCGTTTATGTTCCCAATAGATCATAACTTTACGTTGCCATGTACAGATTTAGGATAACCTCAGGGGAAGTGAAAAGGTAGAGTATATATATATACATATACGTATAAATTAATATTAACTCACAAATTACCTTATACTGCGTTTGAATTATATGTACAATATTACAAAACTTATTTTTTTGTAATAATTTATAGATTTACCAACATTGTACATAGAGAGTATAAAGGATTCTGTACTTATAATAAAATATAATTAAGAGAGAAAAAAAAGAAATTAACGCTGCTTAATGGTATTATATCAATTATTTATAATCTTGCAATGTGAGATTTTGGTTCACAAAACAAAAAATGTAGAAGGAATTTTTACAAAGAGTTTATTTTCTACTATATTATTTTTTAATAATATTATTTTGATACTAGAGTTAATTTTTGGTCGATTCCTAATGAAGGAATAAGTTAAATCACAAAGTGTCCAAAGAAAAAAAAGAAATATATAAATGACAAATATATTTTTCTAATTAAATTTTCAAGTAAATTTTACATTGATATTCAATTTTAATTAAAGAATTAGTTATAATATCGAAAATTAAAAACTTATAGTAAATAACGATTTTGTGATAAAGAAACACTAATACCACATTAATGTAAGAATTTGTCATTAAAAATGTAGGATTTTTTTTTCATATGCAGTTTATCTAGAAACAATCTGTATTGTACATTCATTTTTTTCTCATAAAAATGTATTCTGTACATTCTATACTGAAGAGTTTGTTATACAAAACTGTATCTAACACATATGCAAAATATTACACATCTGCTACAAAAGCTCAAGTTTTGGTATTGTAGCAAGTTATGAAAATTTTATACTATTACGTTGTTTTATGGTTTCCATGTGTAGATTCTTCATATCTACTTCGTTGATTAACGATTTTGCAAATGTAGCAGCAGTAGCTTCCTTGTTTAAGAAATCTGACACTAATTGCGATGCTGGCTTACCACCTCCATGTGCTAAACATTCCTTTCGATAACGGTTACCTGCCGATCGGCAGAAGGGATCATTATGGAAGTAGGTTTGCCAAATCCAGGCGGCGATTGCACGAGATATTAGATAGGAGTAATATTTTGCGCCGTATCCGACCAAATGTGAAAATCTCAATTGCCATGCCTGTAAATATAATAGTGAGATTAATTATAGTATTAAAAGTTATACATTCTATATAATCTATTGTGTCAACTAAAAAAAATCCAAGTTTAAATTATTGTTCTATTATATAATTGCAAAATTTATTATAGTTGTCTGATCAAGTTCTTAAATGAATTAGTTGATGAATAAATTTAATAATAATTTAATACATCATATATAAAAGAAATTATTCATAAAAAAAAAAAACGAGTATTTCTCTTTCATACCTTTTTATAAGAATTTTTAAACTTTTATAATTACCTACTTTTCGTAAATACAATCTTATATAGATTGATTTGTATAGAATTAATAGAGAAAATTAATAAAAGTACATACTGTATTTTTCACATATGGAAGACCATAATATTCCTTCTGTACATCTGCTAAAATCTCACTGGTGGATTTTGTTAGTTTACCACTATGATACACCTGATCCAGCATACTATAGAATACTTGATTTTGTAATTCAGAGGCGCAGAAAATGTTCTTTGAAGCGCACAGTTTGTGCAATAAATTTTCCGGCATTGGTTCTTGAGTTTGAAAATGTTTTGCAAATTTTGATACAACCTGTGATTGTGCAGATAAATTAAAACACATTACATTTAAATACTAGCAAACCTATAGAGTATAATTTCAATAACTATATAAATTATATAATTTATATTATTGCATATATTTTTACCCTAGGATCACTTGCAAAATATTCCATCAGCACACTTGGCACTTCCGCGAAATCTGTGCTACATCTAGTACCAGTAACATGCTGATATTTCGTTCGTCCAAGCATAGAATGCAACGCATGGCCCATTTCATGAAACAGATTGTCCACAGATGATGGACTTAATAAACATGGATTTGACCACCGTGGATATGGTAATGATAACATGAGTACAACTATAGGATTCTGAAATCAATGACGCTATGATGAGATCGTCAAAATTTCTGCAATTATATGTAATTGCACAAATATATATATCTATGAACAATGAAAAATCGATGATTCGGCTAATAAATAATTAACAATATATTTAGCTATCTCTATTAATTATACACTAAATTTATACCTGATAAGAACTATCTGGTAATTGCTTTCCACCTTGGATTGTAAAATGACAGTCTTGATTAGATTTTCCCATTCTTTCATAGAAATCGCAATAAATATAACCCAAGATTCCCTCCTCTTCATCTATTACAGCTAATTTGTGAACGTTATTCGCCCATACCTCTCCAGATAACACTGGGATGGATTCGAGCCTAACTCCATACAATGATTGCGTAAGGATATTTAAACCCTCCATACAAGCACCAAGGGAAAAGTATGGAGCAAATTCAGTAGTAGAGGTATTTAACCAAACTTTCTTTGCTTTTGCCATAAAGTAGGCGGTATCCCATGGCATCAATTCCTGTTTGATAATTAAAAAAAAACTAAATAACTTTACAATTATGAAACATACATGATGTAAAGATTAATATTTTGTCACTGTTAGGTCTATATGCTTGATAGTTATATGAATAATATACAGTATCATCGTACAAATAGAATTATAAATATATAAAAACAAATTAGTAAAGATAGATACAAACTTGTTTCAAATGCGATTCGGCATCTTTCATCTTTTGCATTTCTTGAAAATCTTGTGTTGCTTTAGATTGCAAATTATCATTTAATACATTAAGAAATTCTTTCACAACAACTGGCGATTCGACCGTACTTCCTTTCACAGCTCTATAAAATAATAAGTTTTTCATTTATGTTTACATTCATAGAATTGTATGTTTTTTATCCAATTCATATTACCTGTGTGCATATGATGGAAATTCACAATATTCTGCCAGTAGATGTCTGGAGCTCAAGAGTTCGTGTAATAGATAATCTTGCTCTTTATCCGGGAACAGAAACAATTTATATGCCGCTTCACGAACAGCAGTATTGGAGGAGTCTGTGTAAAATCCTTGCACTAATATCTGACCGTTGTCCGTCACAAAACTGTGAAACGTATCCGATATCAACGAGGTACCTTTCTAAAACTTATACCTTTGAAAAGTTTTAAACAAAACAATAAAATTCAGTTTGAACGGAGCACTGCGAGTAATCGATTAAATTACCGCACTTACTATTGCCTGATAACATCGGGTAATGCGTCGGCATCAACCGTCCTCGGAGTAACAGCACCACCCATAAACCTTTGACCCACCTGAAAAAAAAAAGAAAAAGCTTGTAAGAATATGATTAAAGATATCGTTAAATAATACTTACTTGCAAAATATAATCGTTTAATTTGACTACTTTTCTCCTTTGCCTTTCTGGTAAGTGTATACCACATTGTTCAAAATCGAATAAGAATAATTTAGCCACATGATTGTCTATATCGGATGTCACCTGAGTATCACCATTAGTTGCCACTTTTTTTAACACATCATACAGTTCACGATGTGTGTTTAATCTGTTAAGTATTGTAGATATAATTGTTATAATCTATAAATCAAGTTTACTAATGGTCAAAAATATTTATTTAAAATTAAAATTATCGAATGCTTTTTTACATATATCCTTTTTTAAAAATTTTTCTCTTGAAAATAAGAGAATACAGTTCAATAGAAGAAAAAATTAACAGAAAATTACTACAAAGTATATATAATATAAATTATTAACAAAAATATCAGAAAAAAATCTTTTAAGTTTTACAGTGTATATGATAAAAAAACATCCAAAATAAGGATAGCTGCTATATAATACTTAAATGTATAATTTTAAAAGTGAATTTACTTTTCGACTACGCCACTGATAGTTATACAAGCATCTTCAGCAGCTTGAACATACTGTTGATCGGGATGTGCAACTCTAATAAATTCAGCCATATCTGCTACTTTACATAATGTATTGGATAATTCGTCAAATATTTCCACCATTTTTCTCTTCCTGTCTTTGTTTATAGCTTCATCGATGAGAACATCCACATGTGCTAATGCACTACAAAGTATATATAATATAAATTATTAACAAAAATATCAGAAAAAAATCTTTTAAGTTTTACAGTGTATATGATAAAAAAACATCCAAAATAAGGATAGCTGCTATATAATACTTAAATGTATAATTTTAAAAGTGAATTTACTTTTCGACTACGCCACTGATAGTTATACAAGCATCTTCAGCAGCTTGAACATACTGTTGATCGGGATGTGCAACTCTAATAAATTCAGCCATATCTGCTACTTTACATAATGTATTGGATAATTCGTCAAATATTTCCACCATTTTTCTCTTCCTGTCTTTGTTTATAGCTTCATCGATGAGAACATCCACATGTGCTAATGCACGACTTTTCAATATGTTAAAACCATCTTCACTTTTTAACTCCGGAATACCAAACAGTCCCTTAAAGATATTTTTATGTAATAAAATATATAATACTATAAAATATAAAATAATTATAAGATATAAAAATATAAAATAATTCTGCATTATGTATTAGTGATGTTTAAATATTATACACGATATTGTTAATTAAAAATCATTTTTTTGCATCGCTTTGATATTTGATATGATCATATGGTTAAACATATGAGATATACACTTACCGTTTCTTTCTTCAATATATTTACCGAGTGATTTTCATCACTAACAGCGGAATTAAATGCCGTGGCGAGATGTGACCAAGTGTTTAATCTCCTACCATTTCGTATATTCCGAAAAATTTGTTTTTCAAATATTCGTAGCATCTTTCAGAAATGTAAAAGTTATATGGAAACAAGTTATTTGCAAAACTACAGGTTATATACCTAGGATCTAGACTATTCGGTTCGCTAGTACTTTTTACATTCGAATGTTTTTCGTTTTCTTTTTCTTTCTCTCTCATTCTTTTATATTCAAATATACTTATAAAAAACGATCGCATCAAAATTTCTAACAATTAAGATATATAATATAATAGTTTTAAATGTTACACGATTCTCTAAAATATTTCGAACATTCAAGAAAAATAAATATAATAATGCAATTTAATTGAATAATAGTTAGAATTATTAAATAACAGCAATTAAATAAATTAATTAGATAAATCTGTTCTTTGTGCACTATAATTTTATCTCTACATAAATAATAAACTTTGCTACTCTCTTTTATTTTGACATTTGTGGATATTATTTTCGATATCGGAAAATTTGTTACAAAAATACAATAATTTCGCTATTTTCATTATTTCTGATATCTATTATAATATTTCGAAAATTCTATTTCAATGCTTATATAAAATAATATATATATATATATATATTATTGTGATAAATTCACGTTGTGCGTACTTCAGTTCGATACTTCGAGAATCGCAATTGCATTTCGATAGATTTCGAATCGCAGTTAGTAACGGACGTGGCGCGATGGCTCGCTAGAGTCGGATTCGAATCGCTCCGTATTTATCGCGATTGTTACGGTTTAAAAGTGAATCTCACGGGCATATAATTATCACGATTGTATTTCGTAAAGTGACGGAAGTTTTCCGTAATGTAACGACACCTCTCGCAATCGCCGTTATCGTGATTACCGTATCCGCGGCCCTTTGTAGATCGATCGAAATCTATATTTCGCGTTATCCTTTCTCCAAAGTGCGAGAAAAATGCGATGGGCGCAAGCTGATTGCCAGGTATACAAATACATTATGCATGTGTCGCGTTCTCTGTAATTGGATTATCATATCGCTCATATTTGTCGAGGAAAGATTATTTATTGCTCTAGAGTCATGTTACATTCGCAATAAAATCTTTGCTACGGCAATGGTTCCGGGAATGTTAGTCGCTTGAAGATTTCCAAGAAGAAGCAGGCTCGCCAACCGTTCGAATCTTCTAGCCAATTCTCTCTAACGTCGTGATATTGGTATCACTCGTGAATCGTTCCTCACGACGTCGGCTGCTCCGGAAAGATTCGGCCAATCAGATAGCTCCGTTTGGCGCACGATCGGTGCAGTTGATAAATGGAGGATCCGTGTTTGTCAAGGTAGTTTTGTTTACGCGGAAATTTTCACTCGGTAACAACTCTTCGCGTGTTCCGTTTGTGCTGAAGAGGTAGATGAAGGTACGTAATGCCGTTCCGCGCTTGAACCATCGTTTTCGATACGCGCCGTCGCGTTCTCGCCGGGAAAATCGCGCGAACGCGTCGACTTGTCGTCGTAAGCGTACGAATCTTCTCGGCAGGACGAGTAGTTGACGCTAAAAAAATTCGCCATCATCTGGCGAAAATCGCGATTTAACTCTTTCCGGATAGTCTAGCGTCGCGTTTCGCGTCAAAATCGGCGAATTTCCGCCACGTATAACCAGCGCGAGCCGCAAAAACTTTGTTTCACTCTCATAGGTTATGGGCTTGTACCTGGTGTATCATTAGTATGGAATAGATGAAATCCGACGAATCGTTCGTCTCATAATGTTCGTTCGCATTATTTTTATATAGTTATGAATTTTAGAAACTTTTTTGTGCTCACGTTTTTGTGACACGTGATAGAATCGATGCATGCTGCTATATTTTCTGTCGTCTTTCACTGAGGCTCTTGATCACTGAAGTACAAACTTGACGGTTGTTCTAGTAATTGACTTGTTAACAGTGTTAATCTTTTACCGCAAATGTACTGTATCTCTTATATACATGCGTCTTTTCTTATTTTATTTTCTTGGATTTATAATCAAGTTGCGCATACGTTTGAGTAATGAGAATCAAGAAATATATATTGTTTGTCAACTTTCTTCAAGTTTCAGTAGATGAGCTATAATATAGCTATAATAAAGTGATCTATGTAAAAGTTCTTTCATATTTTCAACCAAAAATCAAGTTATATCTGAAAGATATATTATAATTAATTATATCTTTGTTCGATATTTATGTGTAAGGGATGATGTGACAGTAAATTGATTTTGCGTAACAGTCAAATTATAAAAACTTTTGAATGCAAAATATTATTATTTTAACAAAAGTTTCTCTTTTCTAGAATATCATAACATGTCCCGCAATCATAAGGACAAGTATGAGAACTCCAACCCACGTCGTATTTACACACTCATGTGCTCTGAGGACTATCAATCGGGGAAGAAATCTCATTGGTCGGAGTTGGAGATAACAGGCAGTATAAGAAACTTAAGCCCCAACTTGTGGCAAATGATTCATCTGACAGCTTTGTATCTGAACGACAATAGTCTGCAGAGAGTACCAGCTGAAATTGGTCGTCTTGTCAACTTGCGCATTTTAGATCTCAGCAGCAATAAATTAAATCGAAAAAAGTCGATGAATGTACTCTGTAGATCTTTCTTTATTGTAAAATTTCTTATATTATTTCAGGGAGTTGTTATTGAACCAAAACTACCTTCGCGTGTTACCGTACGAACTAGGGAAGTTGTTCCAATTACAAGTGCTTGGACTTCAAGGAAATCCACTCAGCAAGGATGTATTGACGTTATATGGGACTGGGGAGCCTGCAGGGACAAACAAGCTGCTGACATACATGTTGGACAACTTACAAGGTAAGTGAAAAGATTTTATCTGTTGAGAGAAAAGAATTGTTGGAGATATTAGAATGCATCTTTTCTCTCAAAAATTATTTGCATATTTTCTGCCAGCGACTTGATACATATATATTCATATCAATAATGAAATTTACAAGTATTTATATTGAGAGAGTAAGAGACAGAATTAAAAATTAAAAATTTTCATGAAAAATCTCTCATATCATAAAAGAAATATTTTGTGAATTATTCATAATATAATTCATTCTTGAATAAAACGGCTAAATTATAGTTGTTTAAATACACAAGATAAAATATAATTGTATAGCGCCTAAATCAATATTAAATGGTTTTGTATTTAAATTTGTAATCTTTTTTTTCGAAATATATGTCGTAATCGTTATATTGTGCATATAAAAGAATACAAAAATAAGAGAAATATATTAAAAATTGTTTAATATATCTTGATGTATATAATAATTTTTAAATAATTAAAAATATATATGATAATATATAATAATAATTTAAATCAATCTTGATCGAGTTTATTAATAATTTAAGTTGAATTAGAGTAATTTCTAATAACTTCTTTTTACACACACAATTTACAAATTAATTTTACCTTTTTGATATTCAGAAAAATTCCTAATAGCCAAAATAATTAACGTGAATCTGTAAGGATCTTTCACTTTACGATAAATCATTGCAAAATAGAAAACGGACGGAGAGACGCATTGCACGAAGAGACGCAGGGGCTTCGATGTAACTGATCTCCGATATTTTGCAATCCGACGAACGTAAATTACGATACACAACAAAGTAGAGGAGACACCTGTAGGCAATACTCAAGTGACATGAACACAATGGGCACACTTAGGCCAATTATGGCGTAATTGTAGTCATGTTACTTCTGGAAAGTCGTGACGACGATGCTGCGCCGAGAGATCCCCGATACAATGCGCATAAATTTGTTTCCGGGACTTTAGCTCTCATACGCGGATTGTCAAATATGTCTATATAAATCATTATATATGCACCTTCGCACAATCGTATTTGTCGATTCAATGATTTCGCGAAAGCAACAATTCGTGAATTCTGTCGTGTATATGCGTTCAAAAGCAAACTTTGCATGCAACTTTATACGAAGAATATGTAGCTTATTAAGAAAAAAAAACCCGCCGTTTTCACGAATGAGTTTTAAACATTTTGACCCTGCTAACTGTCAAATCATTACTATTAAAATTAGTTCAAGATTGTTTTTGAACTTGCACAAATTAAAGGCTATATACGTACTGTAAAAATTTACAGAACTTATTTGTACAAATTCGTTACGCGTACAAATCCGTTTATAAAAAACTTAAAAAATTATTTTATTTTACATATTATAAAAGATGAATTAAAAAAACTTATTAAATGTTTGTTGCCTTTATAACTATTTTTAGACTTGATATATAATTCTGTGCTTGCAATATAAAACAGATTTTCTGCCCGAAAGATATAAATTTTGATATATTTATAATATATATTTATGTGTGTGTTATGGTCATCTTTCATTCTTACATTCTATAAATTCTATAAATAAGAATTATGTAAGAAGACATCTGAAATCTATACTATATATTTTACATAAGAGAGAGTTCCGATATTTCATTATTTATCTTGATGGCGTGTATGCAATACTACATTTTTGCAAAGCTTTCCCGAAAAAATGAGCTTGTTAATTTATGTTTTTTTTTTCTTTTCTTTTTTTGCTTTTTTAATATATATTATACATTTTCTCATCCGGTATAAAAGAACAAGAATATCTCAACGAAGAGACGTGTACAAGATGCATTCGACGGCGGTACTCTGGTAAAATATAAACATGCTTTCCGCGTGATTTGAGATAAGAGGGTAACTCCGTGTGAAACGAAAGGGAAGAGAAGACGCTTCGAAAAGATAGAAAGAGAGGTGGATGAAAAGGATGATGAGCGGAAACATCCTGATGCCGCTGCGAAGAAGCCGCGAAGGGAAAATGACTGGCAATGACGTACAGTGTGGTGTTGTGGTATCGAATAGTAAAAGTTCCGAAGAGAACAATGGATAAACGGAATAGTACAACCGAGACCTTTCAGGCGATCGGATAACTGGCAAAAATGTGCGCAACACAATAGATAGGAGCACGCCCTACAACGAGGGAGTCTCCTCTTTCTATCTCTCTTTCTCTAACTATAATTTGTTCTCCATGAGCGTTCGTTTTCGATAGAGCGTAAATCCAAGCCCGATCAGCCTATCAACCCACCTACTCCTAGACACACCTATCCATCCGACCATACGTAACCGAAAAAGATTAACATTCGTGGAATTACACACACACGTCTATCTGTTAATAATTAAATTGTCTTTTATAGAAAGGACTCGTGCAATCTAAGAGCGTAAATAGAAAAAAAGATACATATATCGTTGCGAGATTCCGCGTTTGGGTTTTTTGATAAATAAAATTTTTTATGAGCGTCGGAGAATCTCCATGAAGATGGAAATACCATCGAGAGAGAACTTAAGTTATTAATAAATTTAATTAAGAGATTGATTTAAATTATT